CAAGCAGCCCTCGTCCCTCCCCGCCACAGCAAACATTGCAGACCGCGGCGCTTGYAATCTTTAACCACGGCCCCGCAGCCAAGTGGGCCACGGGCTGAGCGTGGGGAGCCCTTGGGCGCACATGTCACTCACAGGGACAGCGGGACCCRCTCGGCCTCCCAGGGGTACAGGGATAAAGCCRGGCTCCTGCCTCCCCGCTCCAGAGCATTCCCTCAAATAACGGGAAAACTAGGGGTTCCTCCCCCAGAACCCGATTTCCGTCCCGGCCCCTCCGCCCTGGCCAGGAGAGGGGAATTGCGTGAGCAGTTTCAAAACCCCCAAAGAAAAACACTTGCAATGTTTGCTTGAGAGCAGGTGAAAATGGCCAATACCACCCCTGGCGCCCCGGGCGGCTGCGGTAAGGACAGGTCCAAGTGGGGCTGCCGCTTCCCGCACGCTCCCGTCCCACTGGCCGGCACCACTGCACACACGGGTCAGGACCCACGGCCCTGCTGTGGCACCRAGGGGCAGGGGCTCGTGCATCAGAAACACCCCGAAAACCCATCAGAAAAACACGCAATTGGGACCAGTGTGAGCAGAAAAGGGCAGCAATAAAAATCCTAGTTCCCAGAAGGACCAACAATGAAAGAAACTGGCAAAAAAAAAGGAATGAAGAGCAAGAAAATCTTGGAACAATGCCCCATGTGAGCCCCACATGTGCCTCCCACCACCACCTCATGTTTTGGGGGAGAAAAGGGAAAAAAGGGCCCRCAAGCAGGAGCCGGCCCTGGGCGCTGCTGCTGTGGCTCCCAAGGAGGCCCAGGGCATCGCACAGGGCAGCTCTTGCCGTGAGGCGCTCGCTGTGCCCTTGTAATTGCTCTGCATGTTGATATTCATGTATTTATGGCTGGTTGCTGTGAAGATTTTGACATCTCTTTGGTCAGGTGCCAGCACCAGATGCCAGTGCGGGTGACACCAGCAGCTGAGAAATGCAGCGATCAGGAGCGCGCTGGGAAAGGAAAGGTTGGAGCCAGCCCCTATCTTCTGAGTTTTTTAAATATCATTTTTTCAAGGCGGGGGAGGGAAATTTTCCAAGTGGGAAAAAATACAAATTTCTCATTTTTCTTTTGATAACTTAAAGAGAGCTTAACTGAGCTGTGTGAGTGGCTCAGTTGAGTCCTCTGGGCCAAAAAGTCCAAAGATTTTCCTGCCTGTGCCGCCAGCCTCACAACCACCAGGTCTAGGACACCTGCGACTCCACATTTTCCTCCGCAGAACAGAGCTCATCGTTGGTGTCTGCTGGGCCGTGGAGTTCGGCAGAGCTGTTTGTTCGGTGATTCCTGCCCAAGCCAAGATGCAGTTTGTCAACCCCTGCTAAGGCTTTGGGAGGGAACTGGGGTGAAGCCACAGAGCCAGGGCGCTGCACAGACCCATAGCCTTGGGGAGCCCATGGTGTCCCCTTGGGGCTCCTCTGCTTGGCTTGAGGCTCCTCCATCCTCCCTGCAGCCCGGAGAACTGGCTCCCGTGGGAAGGGCACAACTTGCCTTGATCAAGGACAACTGAGTTTCTTTGGAAAAATCCCAGCTGGAGGGATTTCCCACTGATACCAGCTGACTTCCAGAGCGGCAGAATCAAGCAATTACATATTCGCCTATGCTCGTAAAAGCCAGCATCTTATCTGCAAATCCCTGGGTGCATCCCTGGATGCAGGAGCTGCATCTGGGAAGACCCAAGTCTGGAACTGACCAGCCTGCCAGGAGGGTGCTGAAGGAAGGTGGCTTTTCCCAAAGAAAACGGGATTGACACACAGCCAGGTAAATCATGGGCTTTAATGGAAAAGCTGTATTTTGTTTATGAAGGGTGTTGGAAGAATTTGCAAACCTATGGAACTAAAACTCAGTGTCTAATTAATCTCAGTTTTTAGACAGTCATTCCCTAAGATCTGGAAATTCCCGGCAATGTCAGGGATGGATGGAGTAGGTAAGTACAGAAATGGTGTGGTGTACTACCAGTTTACATTTTTGTTACATAGTCAGGATTTGGCTTGATTGGCAAACAAAGCGTTTCTGCCCCTGCTGTGAGCATGGCACTAGTCTCCAACCCCGTTTTCTCTGACCCAGGCAGCAGGGAGATCTGCTCCCGGCATCCCAGGTCCTGGATGCTCCCTGCTTTAAGGGCTCTGAGTTTCACACCAAACACTGGCCACAAAAACCAAGGCCTCCCRACCAGCAAGGAGCTGATTTCGGGCAGAGGAGCAATGTGGGGTCCCACCACGGCTGGCCTGGCATGGGCAGCAGTGAGGAGGAGGAGGAGAGTGAGGAAGAGAGGAAGAGAGAAGCAGGCAGGGAAGAAGAGCAGGAGAAAGAGGGGAAARGGGAAAGGAAAAAGCAAGCGGGGAGCCGGCAGCCCTCCCTGCCCGGCGCCCCGCAGCGCTGCGCTCGCCTCGCTCTTCCCAAAATCAACTGCAACTTTTGCCTCCCTTTTGGGAGGACAAAAAGATTTCACGCCTAACTTGCCCTGGACAAAGGGACCTCACGCCAGGGCTTTCCTTTTCTTCTGCCTTTTCTTTCCCTTCTCCCTGCTGTTGCTGCCAACGGATGGAAGGAGCGGCTGGCGGGAGGAGGGGGCTCTTCATTTTAGACGAATGCGATCRGTGCTGGAAAGCAGCTTGGAGTCCCCAAGACGCGTGGAATAGGCCGGGTGGGGAATACGGGTCGCTGGATACATGCAGGAAACATGGGGAAGAGGAGGAGTGTTAGCAGGGGTGATGTCTTTGGGCAGACCCTGCAGGTGCTCTGCAGAGGGGTCTGCTGCCAACAGCCTGTCACCCAGGAGGAACGTGCCTTGCATGGCCCGCAGCAGAGTCTGCCCTGCATGGCACAGCTCAGCCTGGCACGGGGACCGTCCACCAGCTCCGTGCCCTGTCCCTGCGTGTGTGCACATGTGTGAGAGCATGGAGTGCAGCCGGGGTGTGCAAGGGGACACACGGATCCGTGCGCGTGCAAGCATGGGTGTGTGCGAGGCAGGTGCACATCGGGGCGCGCCGGCGAATGCAAGTGAGCGTGCGAGAGCCTGTGTGTGCGTGTGAGCGGGTGCATCTGTGCGTGTGTGAGCGTACACGCATGGGGGTGTGCAGGGAGGTGTTGGGGGGGTGCGAGTCAGGRTGCACGGACTCAGCCTGAGCAGATGTTGCTGCTGGGAGAGGGCACATGGGGAGGCGCCTGGAGCCGGGCGGATGGACGCAGCTCAGCGCCAGGCCAATGGCCACTAACATGCCGGATTAGCACAGGGTCCTGCGGCCACGGGTTCGGATCAATAGCCCTGCCGTCACGCGCCAGATGGTTTGGGCAAGGGCAGGAATCAAGCAGTGGAAATGAGCTCGCAATGGCAGGACTGCTCGGTGCTGCTGTGTCCTGCTGTACTGTCCATGCACGAGGCTGAGCGGGAGCCTTGGACCCTTCAACACAGCCTTGCCTGGGGGAAACACTGGGGGAGTCTGTCCATGGCGGACTGTGTGTATTGACAAGGGGAGTCCATCCCTTGGAAGGGAATTTCTCTGGTGACTGTAGCAAACAATTTACTGTTTTCTGTTCTATTACATGCTTTCCCAAAGCYGAATTCCTCCCATATTTTAACCAACATGAAGCCTTGATTTAAAAACCCAAGAGGACAGAAGGGCATGCACAGCCGCTAGCACAGGCAACCCGCACGGCAGGGCCGGCCGGTGCTGAGGCTTCCCAGCATCCCGGCTCCAAGAGCAAGGCCAGGAGTGGTACTGGTGATGGGCTGGGGATGCAGGGAGATGCACGGGGCTGCATGGGACTTGTACAGAACTGCACCGAGTTGCAGGGAGATGTGTGGGGCTGTGCAGGGTTGTGGGGAAATGCCAAGGGACTGCGTGGAGAGATGCATCGGGGCTATGCGGGGCTGTGCAGGGTTACAGGGAAATTCATGGGAGGTGAGCAGGGCTGTGTGGGGTTGCAGGGAGATGCACAGAGGTTGCATGGGGCTGCACAGGGCTGCAAGGAGGTGCACGGGGGTTGTGCAGGGGCTGCACGAGGGCTGCACAGAGCTGTGCAGGTTTGTGGGGGATGCAGAGAGGTTGCATGGGGCTGTGTGGGGCTGTGCAGCGCTGCGGGAGATGTCTGGAGCTGTGGGGAGATGCGCAGGGGTTGCATGGGGCTGTGTGGGGCTGCGGGAGATGCACGGAGTTCGAGGGAGATGCACGGGGGTTGCGGGGGGCTGCGTGGTGCTGAGCAGCGCTGCAGGGAGATGCRCGGGGGCTGCACGGGGGCCTCCCGCGCTTCGCTCCGCGTCCCCCCGC